TTTTTCTTAACAGCGGTCGTCCCTCGGCAGGCAATGGCAAACCTCCGAGTGTATTTCTGCCATGAAAAACAGCTTCTCATAAAAATACAATCGCCGTTCGGAGTCGGCGTAAAACTGTAGGTCCCTCCGCTTTGTGTGACAACATCAAGGCGCACGCCACAAATCGGAGGAGAAGCTTGGCCAAACACTAACATATGTGTAAGCGCCAATCTATTATTATTATTTCGGTTTTCAACCGAAATTGTGCATATATGCATTATTTCGGTTTTTTTCGTATGCATTTTTTCGGGTTTCTTCGTATGCATTATTTCGGTTTTTTTCATATGCATTATTTCGTATGCACAGTTTCCATATGCACAATTTCAGGGTGCCTTATGTGTAGCATGTGCATCTGTAACAATAACTTGGAATTCAAAAAGTGGGAAAAAGATTCCCATTTTCAGTTCCAATGCTATGCTATGGCATTATCGGAAATACCACTCACAAAAAAACTGTTATTTTTGTTTAACAAACTTTTGTAAACACAAATATGAAATTTTTCCTTTTTGGTTGTTGTTGTTTCCGACAGGGTGGGTGTATGATGTATTATGGAACGAATTTCCGTCATCCCTTGTCAAATTTGGTTTGGAGACAAACCGGTTTCGGCGTTGTGCCATCTTCAGTGTCATTTTTCGTTCTGCATAATTTTTGTTGGTTGCTCGTATTTATACTCCTTGTTAACTACCTCTTTCTTTTGTTAGGTACGTCTTTTTAGTTTTGCAGTGTTTGCGGTACTCAATAGGTAGATGAATTGTTTTGGCTCGTTTTTGACGGCAGGTAGAAGTCCGTGATTTTTACCCCCTTTGTTTTTGCAGTCGGTGTATTCCGTCTCCAAACCAAATTTGACAAGGGATGACGGAAATTCGTTCCATAATACAAATATGAAACATGACATCTTGTGCATTATCCTTATCTTAAATCCGTAACGATGCCTATATCGGTCTTTAACAAAGATAAAGCGCCAACTAGTGACTACACTTATAGTGATGACCAGGGCCGAAAAGTTTAAGCTTATGCTTGGAATGCTTATTTTGCTTATTCATAGTTTCCAAGCTTAATTTTAACGATCATGCTTATTTTGCTTATTTCAATGTATAAAGCTAAGGACCGACCTTTTAAGAAAACGGTCCAGAAATAAATTGCTATTATTTCGTGTGTGTGAATAGTAGTGTCCAAGGAGTTTTGACATCTGATATTTTACAGCCTGTTGTCTCTCTTTTTGCTTCCGAAATAATGGAACGGGTATATATTTCTGTTGAAAACAAGGATACCTTGTTCTCTTCGCAAACAAACTTTAGCAAACCATAGAAGAAAGCGTAGCAAATTTCTTAAGAACTTCGTACTGCATAAGAAAATTTGGCTCAATAAATTTTTCTTGACCATTTCTTTGGGGTAGTTTTATTCGTCGAACTGTTTACAAATAATAACATAAAAAAGATTTGGTTTTTATTAAGCCGTAACTTCACTTGCATTTCTGCATGGGTACAAACATTTTAAAGCAATGGTGTTATTGAAAAGATTTAAAACTATTTATCACAAATGAAGAATAACGAATACTATTAAAAAAATATTAAAACGACCGGCGCACATAGGGACGAAACGAGAATATAGGACACCAAAAATGTTTACTCAATATGTATTTGACAGATTTCAATGGAAGTTGGTATTTAGGGGTCCTCGTTATCACTAATTTCGAAATATATATTAAATTTTTAAAATTCAAAATGGCGGATCAAATATGGCGGATGAACTAAAAAAAAAAATATTGATTGTTATGAAACTTGGTATCCAGGGGCATTCGTCGTCGCTGATTTCGAAACTGGTATTAAGTTTTCAAAATTCAAAATGGCGAATCAAATATGGCGGACGACCTTTTAAAACATTGGTGATTGTTATGAATCTTGGTATCCGGGGACGACGAATGATTTCGAAACTGGTATTAAATTTTCAA